GTGGGATGAGTAGTTAGCTTGCCAGGGCTCCTCTTGTCTTTCTTACTCTTTTCTCGGACCCTTCTTTAAGTTTTTTCCCCTTGGGCGGGGGAGGGTATGGATGGGTCAAGGTTTTTGTTTCAGGTTTCCTCTGGGTTGCGTAACGTCCCCAAGCTCAATAATGTCTTTGTAACGAGTGCGTAACCCTCTCTGTGCATCCACGTCCGTCTCACAACTGTATCTCTTTCTCACTGGAACTCCCAAATACTCAAGAGCCTCCCACCGACCTCCGGTATCGTCCCACAAAAGAGAGGACGATCACCCTCCCCAGGAACCGTGGTAAGAAGAAGATTTTGGCGGCGAATGTCACAAGGATCATTCACCATGGCTTCCTCCAGGTGCAAGCTAGCAACTCATCAAGGAGCTTAAGCAGCTTGATGTCTCTTTTTCTTATCAAGTTGACTAGCATCGCCCCTTGGAGGGGTCTGACCACAGACATGCCCTGCAACTAGTTTTTCATTGTACGTTATTTATCGCTCTCGACAATGTCTTGAAGGCTGCATTCGTAATCTCAAATTTATCTTCCCATTTCATTGAGAAAACATTCTCGAGAAAAAATCATTTTGGCTTTGTCTCATTCATTACTCTTAGGACATCCACTCATTTTCAATACAATTTTTCCTCTCCCCAAAGCTCAGACATAGCCAAATCCACATACATCCTTCCCGGGTCATTCCTCCCGGCCTTTCTCAGGTCCTGCCAATTCCGCATGCATATCATCCTCTGCCTTTTCTTGCCCTTTACTTAATTGATTCTCATTGTGCAATGCTTGGCTCACCCCTCAGCCACTTCTTCATCTTTTCAAGCTTATACGAACCAATTACACAGCCAACTCTCAGTCTGTCAGTTCCAGTTCATACCATGTCACTTGCTCAAGTCCTTTCTGCACTGGCGTCTTGCCAGACCCCCCTTTTCTCAGGCCTATACAAAGTCAATTACCACCTTTTTCTGTTCCGGCCATCTTGACAGACCCCTTTTTTCCAAGCCCATGCAAAATCAATTACAAGTCTTATTTTTATGCGTATTCATTGGTAGATGGCACACCTTCCCCCCACTCAAAACGCGATGTCCCCATCGCGCGACTGGTTCTCACTCGGAGGTACGCAGACCTTTGGCCCACCAACCGCAAGTCAAGGATACAAGCCCGTCTGCTTCACAGAAGGAAGAGTGATCAGTTATTCCCCAGCGAACGACGCCTCATCCTTCTACCCGGTCCGACCTTTGTTCCCTTACGTGGCGAGCACCGATACCAAGGTCCCTCCTCACGTCTGTCAGGTAGGTCCAATCCAAGTCTGCCAGGGCCTCGTCTAGCCGTAAGAGCGTTCCTCGCGAATCGTTCCTCCCGAGTGGTGATTTTATGGATTCCGGCCTCTTTCTTTCAAGAGAGTTGGGGCTCTCGATCAGTCCGCGAGTGCAATTATGAAGACCTCGCAATTAGTCTCGAAACGGTTGTAATCTTCCGGCAGGGCAGTGTCAATGCCCCGTGGTGGTGGCGGACTCCACCCGGTACCTCGTCCGGCCTCTCCCCTTGGACAATGTCGCCCAACTTAGCGAGGGCAGCCGTGATCCGACCCAAACGGCCATGCCACCCCCCTATGACATGGCGTGTGGTTGGAGAGTAGCAAAATAGACTAGATGAGAATAGCTTCCCTGCCCATTTGGCTCCCTCGCCCTTTGACGTTTAGGCATTCAACAGGAGGCGCAGTTGAAACTCCCCGACTAGAGCTCATTGTCGGAGGTGGTTCCGGACGTCCCACACCGATCCAAGTGGTGGGTGCCTTAGTCCTTTAACCCTCATCCTCTCGAAGAGGAACAGGTCGCGCTGAGACTTTTTCCCTTAAAGGGATAGAGGTCTTGGGGTCGCGGTGCATGCACCGGTATCCCCCTCTTGCTGAGGCCAAAGACTAGAAAACGAGAAATTTCATTTCAAGGCTATTTCCAAGTCCATTTTGAGTTGCCTAGGGTCCCCTGTTTATACAATGCAATTTCCAATACTCAGTCCAATTTCAATGCTCAGTCTCATTCTCATGCTCAATATCAGTGAAGTGCTCAATGCAATATCTTTTCCAAGGCTGAGTCCAATATCCTTTCCAAGGCTCAGCTCTTCCAATCTTTCCCAAGACTCAGCTCAATGTCTCTTTCAAACTCGGCTCAATATCTCATCAATATCTTTTCCAAAGCTCAGCTCTTCCAATATCATACATCTCAAGCAGCCATGTAAGGGGACCCCAGTGCCACTTCCAAAGAGTGACCCTTGTCAGGGGTCATTCCGAACAACCTGGTTAGGGTCATTCTTTCCACTTCCAAGTCGAACAGCCTGGTTAGGCCATTCTTATCCATTGCAATCGGACAGTCTGGTTAGGACCATCCTTATTCATTTCAATCGGGCAGCCTGATTAGGGCAATCGTTGTCCATTTCAATTGAACAGCCTGGTTAGGATCATCCTTGTCCATTGCAATGTTAGCGTCCGAGGGGGTGGACCTCGAGGACACGGATCCTATCCCGTCTCGGGGGTTAGAGGGCGGCCATCGTCTTGGGTTTTTACGCATGCTTCTTCCTTTTCCTCATGTCTTTTGTCATTCTTACATCCATCCATACATCCGACTTAGCGTCTAGTACTCAAGTTGAGGCTCGCGGCCCGAAGCAGCACTAGCCCGCCCGGTCGTTCACCATTGCAAGGGGTGTTGCATCATTTCAATGTTTCCCTGCGACTTTTCTGACTTCTCATATGTTTCTCAATGCTCTGGGATTGTCTGGGGTAGGTTGGATTAGGCTCCTAGGGGAGAGGGTGCCTCTCTACCCGTAGGTCCCCTAACCTCTCACAAGGGCTCATGCAATGACTCATTCAGTCCTGGATACACAATTTCAAAGGAAAAACTCTCGCCATGACTGCATCTTCCAATGTTCAAGAGTTCACATGCCCCTGCCTATTTTCTCGAGGCAAAGTCAATCATCCCCCAAAGTCCATTTCTTACTACCTAAAAAGTTCTCATTTTTCCCAAAGAAACGAATACTTATACAAAGTAGCACAAGCCTCCCAACCTCCACTAGTTTCCTCAATCAAAAAGTAGTTTCATTACAGTCCTTCCCAAAAAGGAGGAGACAAAGTTCGAATGCAACGACAACATTACAGACTCGTCTCATCTAGGTCCCCCTTGTTTCCCCTTTTTCTTTCCCTTAATCTACCCAGCCATCCAAAATTTTATTCTAAGTGCAAAAGAACTCTCATGCCCATTCTCGAAGAAGCAACGACTTATGTGAAGTAGCATTCGTTACCTAGTCCTTAGCCGCTTCGAGCTTAGCAACTGTCTCATCACAGTTCATTCGGAAAGAAGTCCAAATGCGCAAAAAAGGAAAGATGGTAGTTCTTGCTGCCCGGCTACCAACCCCTCCCCGATTCCCAGCTATTCCCATCATGCCTGCTGTCCCCTTTTACTGTCACGGTGCCCGGCGCCGAGCCTCCCTCCTTGCACGGTCCTCCATCTCTTGCTCCATTAGCCTCTTTATGGTCTGTAGATGGCGAAGCGTTTCTTCTGAAAAGAAGGTTGTTGGGGATATGTCTTCTCCCCTGCTCAACTTTTCCTGGCCCTTCATTACCCATTGATAACGCAAAATACTGGCCCATTGATCGAACCAATCGCTGAACTCAGGTCCGAACTCTTCTATCCATTTGTCCTTTTTCTCACCCGGCTGCTCCCCTCTTCCCCGTTCTTCCCTTGTGGGCGTTGTTACCTCATCTCCCTCTTCGTCGCTGGTGAGGTCAATGAACTCAACGGGCTCATTCTCCCCCGACCGTTGTCCCTCCTCTGGGTTCCCCTCTTCGTTGCTGTTAGGATCACTGTCTGAAGGCAGCTCTATTGGCTCCCCTTCCTTCAGTGGTGACGACCCTCTGGTCCCTTGTTTCTTGCCCCCTCTGTTTACCACCAGGTTGTGGTCAAACCCCACATATAGCTTCCTCTTCCTTGAGCTTGATTCCCCAACCTGCCTTGATGACTGTCCCTCAGTAGGCCTGTTGATGGCGTTGCTATCGTTTTCATTTCCAAAGTCCATTTTTGCCGTTTGCTGTCTTCTTTCTTCTTGCCTGACCCTGTTCATGCATAACAGTCACGGTACTCAAGTATGGATCGTCATCTAGCCTGTTCCAGGTAGGGACCAAAGCTTCTATCGGAAAATCGATCTCCCTTCCATACCAGAGTTCTGCTGGAATACATCTCGTTGTTCTTTTTGGAGTCATGTTCTCGGCGAAGACTGCCTGCTTGAGAAACCATGGCCAACTTCCCAAATTATGTGCTGCCAACTTTGCGATTGTGTTCTTCAAAGTCCGGTGACCCCTTTCTACTGGTGCATTTGCCTCAGGATGGTAGGGCTCGGTGATCTTGATCGGTACACACAGTGTCTTAAGCCTGTTCAACACTTCCTGGTTAACGAATTATGTCCCATTGTCTGCTATAAACCTGCGCACGAAGGGGTGCCTTAGGTAGAAATCTTCCACCCAGTCGGCCACCGCTTTCCCCGTCTTCTTCTTGAGGGTTATGGCTTCCACATAGCCACTGAGATTATCGCTTGCATCCAAGATGTATCTAAACCCATCCATTGATACGGGCATAACGGCAAGGTCGAGGTGAACAAGGTGTCCGGGTCCCAGCACCCGGGTCACCGGGTGGGTTTAAGGGGCTCGTAAACTCGTACGGCGCTCCTTTCTTGACATATCAGACACGTTTGACAATACGTAGCGACTATGCCTGCCATCCCTGGCCAAAAGTACAGGGGCACAATCGTTGCAAGTGTCCCCTTGGACGACCGGTGACCTCCGGCTAGCCCGTCATGCATTGCCTGGATTACGTCCAGCTGCCTAGACCTCCCACAAACGAGACGCCTAGGTATCATCCCTTCCTCTTTCTTGAACAGGTGGTCATTTCTTAGGACATACTTTTCGACTTCCTCCCTTGCCTTGGGACTGACTTCCGTGGGTTTTTTATTCCATACAAGTAGCAGACCGATTTATTTGAAGACGCCCTCGTACATCTATATGAGGAAGAATTCATGTTCCTTCTGATCCGTACTCTGCTCCTCCCGAGTGAGGTTGACTAGATACTGACACTCCTTCTGCGCCCAGGCTTCGGCCAACGTCATCACGGCGTCCCGTCCCCCCTCCACGGTCATTGCCATCAGTTCCTCTCTGGCCCCTACTTCTGCTCCCCACAAGTCATTTTCCTCTTTGCGCCTGACTGTGGTGACTGGTCCTTCCCTGAGTTCTGCAACCACTGCAGGTGCGCCCTTTTCCAAGGTCTGAATCAACAACTGACATGTTGCAATTGCCGGATTTGCCATCTCATTATCCACGACAAGGGTCCCTCCTTCGTACTCCAGGAAGGCGTCAATTGGTTCTGCGTCCTCTACTCCTTCTGGCGTGATACAAACCCTACTCAACCCATCTGCCCTATTTCGAAGCCCTGCAATTCGCTCGACCTTATAGTCGAATTGCCATATGAAGCCTATCCATCTGCCGACAGTCGGGTTTATGGGCTTATAGTTCTTTAGGGCTCCGGCAACGTTGGTGGGATCGATCCTTAGGATAAATCGCCTCCCGAACAGGTATGCCTGGAAGGTCTTAAGACAATACAAGATTGCTAAGACCTCCTTCTTGAACTGCGAATACCGTCGTTCTGCTGAATTCAGGGTCCTACTTTCAAATCTGATTGGTCTCTATTTACCCTCCTCGCTTCTCTGTATCAATACTCCTCCCACTGCCAATGGTCCCCTATCTGTTTCTAAGATGAAGGGTCGTCCTACCTCGTCATTGAAACAGGGTACTGCTAACGTGACCTGATCGGACGACAGGATGTCTTTCAAGGTCAGGGCTGCCTCTTCCCTATCCTTTGTCCAATACATAGTGCCACCTTCCCTAATCATCGCGCGGATAGGCTCTGCTATCTTTGCGAATCGTTTGATGAAGATCCTCCAGAACCCAACCACCCCTAGGAAGGCCCGTACTTCCGTCGTGGTACGCAGGGGTGTCGGCCACTGGGAGATCTTATCCGTCTTTGCTGGGTCGGGTCACCTCCCATAAGCTCCGCAACGAAATCCCAGTATGGTTACTTCCGGAAGGGCCAGGATGCTCTTGGGTCCGCTTGAAGTAATATTGTAAACGAGGAAGCGCTGCAGTAGGTCCTTAATATCATGCAGGTGGTCCCAAACAAACTTTCGTACGCCCGGCTCAACCTCCGTCTCGTCCTTGTACCTTGCGTCTTTTACGGGATTATCATCTATATATGGTTCACACTTTTTCGGAAACATATCCCCTGCGACGGCGAGCATCCTTCTCTGCGCCTCTGCTACCGCATTTGTAAAACCCATAGGGGTCACTTGCATTTGCAGCTGCCCTACGGGGGTGTGCATTGCGGTGTACGGTCTATCCCTCGCATCGAGCGGCAACTGATCATATCCTGAGTACAAGTCTACCAGGGAGTAAATACTCCGCCCCGCATGAGATTTTGCCAACAACTCGGCATGTGGAAGTGAGTTTGCGTCCCTGATTGTTACCGCATTGAGCTTCTGCAGGTCCTGGATCCACCTGAGCATCTTTTTGGGCTTCCTGAACACGAACCACTTGTTCGCGTAGGGGGATGCGGTGGGTTCAGCCACGAAAGAATCTATCTTAGCTCTAAGCAGGTCGGTGACCTCTGCTGTTATCCCAAACTCATAGGCGGACCCTTTATCATTCCAACACTCGTGCTGTACGGTGTGGATCCTGACAGGGGGAACTAGCTTTGCGTCCAATCGCCCTTTCTGATGATCGTTGAAAGCGAAAGCTAAATGAAACTCCNGGGGAACTAGCTTTGCGTCCAATCGCCCTTTCTGATGATCGTTGAAAGCGAAAGCTAAATGAAACTCCTGGCATGCCTTTCTTATCAATTGAGTTTCTTTTGTTGTTAGAAACCCTTCCACTCCTATTTTCATGGTGTCTGCTACCTCATCTGGTATGCGATGCCCTTCCATTGCTCGCCTCTCCCTTATTACCCGCAAGATTTCCTCCTCCTTCTCCATGGCCTCTTCCTTTGACGTTTCTACTAGGATCGAGACCGGTTTGGCCTTCTTGCTTACGGGTTTATACTTTCGCACACTACCTTCGGGGATCGTTCTCCTAAAAAATGAACGGTCGGGATTGGCCTTGCTACCTCTAAGACGCGGGGCTGGATGCTGACTAGCTTCTCATTCAGACAGTAGCTCTTTCGAACCCCATCCTCAAATCTGGCAAGCGCTGCGAGGTCCACCCCCACTTTGTGGTACCTGATGGCCTTAACAAGTTGCAATAAATCTGGGATTCCAAGCACTACCTCCGACGTTTCGTTTCGGGCTTCCTTTGGTTTGAGCAGGCTGGCCCCAAGTTCGACTTCCGACTTTTTTTCTGCCACCATAACTTCCAGGAACTCGTCTTCTGGCCTCCTCTTCTTTACGGGCAAGCCCATCTTGATCCACTCCCTTTTACTAAAAGCCTCCTCAATCATAATTTCTACCCTTTCCCTCATTCCTTCCATTCGTGCGAATGGCCCCTTCCGTGCACTTTCTTCGAATGTTGGGGACCAAGTTGCCAGTTTGCCCTTCGGAGGGTCCCCTCCAGTTCCGAGGAGTCGGAGGAGTTCTCCACGACCAATCACCGGATCCTCTATATCTACCATGTATGTGCCGTCGTGCAGATGCATTCCTATCATTTCCACATTGGCGCACCATGGTCTCCCGAGGATTACGTCGTGATCCATTTCTTCCATTACGGTCATCCGCTCAAAGGACCAGATGGATTCCCGGATTCCCGTTCTGACTACACATTTGGTGACATACCCTGTGAAAGGAATTTCGCCACCTGCTTCCCGGATACTCCCTGCTACTTCTTTGTTTACCGTGCACCCCGTGACCGTTGCGAAATCCCGTCGTATAAGGGTGATTTCTGCTCCGCCGTCCACTAACGCATCAGTGTGGTGAGTTCCAATTTGAACTTTAAGTTTCCCAACTGGTAATGCATGAAAGTTAAGCTTTGTCCCGGGTGGCGCCCTCATGACTTCGCCACCTTCACGATCCGGTAGGCTTAGGCAGATGTCCGCAAAGGCTTTCTCCAACTCTCTCAGGCTCCCTGGAATGCTTTGGAGGTTGGAGACTCCTTGCGGTGCCTCGGCCTCCTCCGTGTCCTGCTCTTGCAGTTCCGGGGCTTCCTCTACCTCTACGCGCTTACGCGTTAGCAGCTGCCTGAGTCCTTTAAGCAGCCTTGGGCTGGCTTGCAGCATGGTCTAAAAAGACACCGATACCATGGTACCAGTAACTTACTCAAGGTGCCATCGATTTCTGGCGAAGTCAGGATCGGAATTTGATACCTGAACTTCCTTTTTGTGGTCGTAGCCTTGTCTACCGGTTCGTCCTCCCTTGGCTTCCCATAGACCTTCTCTTGTTTCGCGGCTTCGGTCTCTTGCTGGCCCATGCTAGTCCCTGTGAGTTCCTCCATTACTGTATCTTGGATGAGCTTCTTTTCYGCCCCGGCCAGGCGAGTGGTAATATTTACCCTATCCTGGCCATTGCCTTCTAGGATAAAATTGGTCTGTGGTCCCCGTCCCCTTGGCTGGTCCCAGACAATCTCGGCTATCGGCTCTGCTTCTACGGCAGCTATCTCTAAGTTATTCAGGAGGATGACGGCTCGCCGCATCCCTCCTGGCGAGTTCCAATTAACACGCTGCCCCCTGGGTCCGCGGATCTCGCCTTTGAGGGACCTGCTGCACCTCTGCCGCTCGATATCGTGATTGAGTCTCGGGCAGGCCTGTACGAAATGCCCGATCATGGTGCAATACTTGCATTGTTCGTTGCCCGGGTCCCTCCTGCCAAACCCCCGGTTTGCTACAGCTGCCGGAACCACGGCCTCTTGGGGCGGGAGGGCGGGTCTGGACACTTGCGCCTGCATTACTAACAACGCATTTTTCATTCTGTCCATCTTGCTATCAACCCCGTGCACCCGTTCGTGCAGGCTCTCTATCCCCTTCTTGACCTTATCCCCTGTCTTCCCGGTCAGATCTATGACCTCCCATTCCTTAAGTAGGGCTAGCGTCTCGGTAACCACTGTCTTTTCCGCAAGGTCTGTTACGGTGCTGAAGTCCACGTCTCTCGTGTATTCGAACTTAATAGTCTGCTGGTATGACAAAATCTTATCTTTATCGAACTCGAAAAACTGCCTGAGGAAGTATTTACTTATTATTCGGTCCGTTACCCCGGGAATTCGCAGAGCCACTAACGTGAATGCCCTTAGGAAATCATTGTAAGTCGCATAGTTTTTCCTCTGGACTGCGGCTAATTCGGCCTCTGTTGCCATTTTCTCTGCCTTCAAGTATTTCCTCATCATCTCATTCCTGTTTTTTTTCCAGGATCCACTGGAGGTGACGATGGACATAATGTCCCTTTCCAGGCTTAGTGACACGTGCTGCCCCAGGTGCTCCATGTTTTCCTCTTCCGTCCATTTTAGTAGGGCTGCTAGGTTCTCATAGTCTATTAGAAACTCCGTAATGTTGGCCCCATCGAATGTGAGTTTCTTCTTTGCATCTGCGAGATACCCCTGGTTCTTGTTTAGTGTCCTGTTGAGGGTGGCGACTACCCTCTTGAGACCATCTTCGGAGGCACCCGCTTCCCCGGCTGCACTGGTCCCTTTCCCTTCCTTGCTTTCCCTCTGCTTCTCCCTGGTTTTGGACATTCCTTCTGGGTCAAACCATCCTAGCACTCTTTCCCTAAGGCTCCATAGTCCGTCACACGCCCCTGTTACTTTCGGCGTGGCGGGCAGTCTGCTAGTGCCGTTGTCGATGGTGGGCGGTGTCATAGCGTTTTTCGTCCCTTCTGCCTGGGGGTCGTCCTTGTCCTTCCCCTTCTTGTTAGGCGTCCCCCTGTGGCTATTATCCTTTCCTTCATATCTGGCCTCGTCCTGAGTGGTCCTTTGCCCCTCTCATGACCCTACGCCCTGGGGGTCCTCCTCATCCCCGGCCATCATCTGCTCGATGAGCCTTGCCTTAAATTTTGCAGTCCGCTTGTCTATCTCTGCCAGTTTGCGACGGGTATCTAAGACTTTCGTCTTTTTAGGGGTGGTTCCTGCTGAGTTCTGAGGGCTTGTTTTCACGTCGTTTCCCCCTTCCCTGTTTTCCTGAGGTCCCCTTTTGCTACCCCCAGCTTTCCCGGAACTTTCTCCTGTTGAAATGTTTTTTCCATCATCTCGGGTTCCTTCCGGTTTGGTTGACTCTCGATCCTTCACTGATCCCTCGTTTCGTTCCTCACCCCCATTCGTATCCTGGCTCCCCCTGCTCTGCTGATCATCAAACTCTTCTTCTGTCGCCATTCCCTTTACCTAGCCTGCACATGGAGAATTTTTTTTTTGCAAAAAATGGCCGGATGTTCATAACTGTCCTAGTCCCGGCTCTAAAACCCGCCTATTCCCATGTTTTTTGCGTCCTATATTAATTGGTCCGACTCTCCTGACTTTTCTTTCCCAGGGCGCCCTTCAAGTTTTTCTCCCGCCGGCCTTGCTGCCGCCGCTCGACATTTCTTTACTGTCACGCTTAGGTTCTTAGGGCGGTGTCTGAGCCCAGTGGCTTCCCTATCGGGTATGACCCTTTTGGCTTATTGGCATCCAGATGCCTTAGAACTTTTAGAGTGGGTGGTCTTTCTAGTTTCTTCCTGCCGCATCATTGGGTCGGTCGGGACTCCAACCACTGCCCCTCTTTTGCTGACGGCCGCCTACTTATCTTAGTACCCATCCTTTGTTTCCCTACCTCTTCCTGACACGTTTTCTCATGCTGGTCCCTCAGGCCTGCCCTGCTCATCCGGTTCCTCGAACAGGTTAGCCAACCCAGCAAGGTAATTTTCCCCCATTTCTATTTCCCTGATAATTATTGGCTCGTATTCTTCAAACGACAGGTGGGGCAATCCGAATATCAAGATCTCGAGTAATTCGAGTAGTTCCCAGGCCTGGTTTCCCCAGAACGGCCCATATCCGACCGACACGTCGTAGAACATGCCCGTTGTTTGCGGCCGAAGACGTGGATCCAGACCAGGGTTGAGTCCACCAAATCCCTTGCCCTCTTGAGACTGCAGAATACCAGGTCTACCATGAAGCGAGGTACTCGACCCCTCAGCCCGGTCATTGGGGCCTGAAACTCTCGCCAACCTCCTATCTCCACCCGAGTCCTTAACCCCACATTCCTTCTTCCTTGCTGGCCTACCCGGTTTAGTACTCTAGTAACCCTCTGGAAGATTGGCAACGACCCATGCCCTAGTGCCAACTCCGTCCTTAACATGTGTCACCCGAACTCTGGCAGGTATACGGTCCCCGTCACCCTAAGATCGGTGTACAGATCGTCCCCCGGTCCCCTGTTAATTCTCATACCATCCCACAAACATTCCACCATCATGAACGCCCGACCTCTTCCCAGGGTCACGGCTCTCCACTCGGTTTTCGATCCTTGAATCATTTAGCTTGCTGGGAGCGACACCTCCCATCCATCTCCGTTTTCCATAGGTGGTCGCGGGTGCATGGGTTGTCGCGGCATCCGGGCGCGTCTCATCGCCATTTCCGACTTAGAAGTCCCCTGCACAGTTTTAAACAGCACGAGAGTTTACTTATTCCACTTGGTCTTCAATTTTCCACCCGAACAACTTCCCGATCCCTAGTCTAGTGCTTTTTTTCCTCTTCTATTTCTTTCCCCTCTCTTCGGCCCTATTACCGACCTGTTTCCTCCTCCATCTGCTCATACAATCGGTACAGATCATCTACGTACGCCATCCCATGGCTTATTTTCCGCTGGACGACACCCCACAGGACCTCACTTCCCACGACCGGAACCCTTGGCCTGGTACTAAACACAGCACGCAGGATGCGCAACACCTCATACTTCTGCTCTCTGCTAAACGGTCTCATTTCTAAGAAGGCCCGGTAGTATTCTCGATGTTTCGCCGCTTCTTCATATGTCAGGCTTGCGAGGTCGGCTACTGCTTGTCCAACAAGTTCCAGACCGCCCAGTTTTTCCAGCAGGAATGACAACAACCTCATTCGTACTACATTTTCACTAGGCAATTCGAAACTCCCGACCATGGCTACCCTAAGGTCTGCCGTTACATCGTCAACCCCTGGATCTGCGAACTCAAATCCCGTTCGCCATACTAACTGCCATGCCCCCTCAAACATGCTCAACGGGTCTTCTCCATATGCCAGCCGAACTCCGAACTCCCTCCACCCGTTTTCTGACACATACAACCGCCCCTCTGCCTGCACGTGCCCCCATGGGTCCGGGTTCTATTCCCCATTCTCAGCCGCACGCCACTCAACTTTCGTCACCAAATAAACCATATTTTCCGCAAGCTCGATCCCGACCCAATCCGCCACCTGGTGTCATCCCTCGCCTGTTGCCGGCAGGCTAACCTCTATCACACCCGGTACTTCCCTAGGCGGTTCAATGCCCAAGGGGCGCTCCTCCAGGAACGTCCTTCTTCGTGCCATCGCGCGCTCGCCTTTGATCTCCCGGCTCGCGATCCGCGCTGAACCCTACAATGGCCAGACATCCCATTCCCTAATCTTAGCAATTTTGTCGTATTTGTCTGGCTCCGCAACTTCCCTTCGCTTAGTCGAACCACAGTACTTCAAACAGTTTGAACACATCATCCACATAGCAAGGTGTTGCTGCTACCTCACGGCGGATTATGGCCTCCCTGGTTTCCGGGGCCACCTCCTGCCGGTCATTCTTTTCGATGTCCAAAATGATGAGGACCTCCCGGGCTCTATCACCGTGGAAGGGCCCGTATTTCAAGGACGTCCTATAAAATTTCCCTGCCAGCCATGTGTAATTCACGTGTATTCGCTCCATCGTGTTGGCTACCTCTGTTACATGATCAAAACCCCCAAACCAGTCCGCCACGAACTCGGGTACCCAGGTCTTGATTCGGGCACCAGGCGGTTTAAATTCCTTCCATCCTCCCATCACGACTCTACTGCTGACCGTATCCCATCCTTTGTTAGCAAAGCTTTCCCCCGCCTGTCGAGCCCTTGCCTCAGCGTCCCCTAAAAGCCACGTCGGGTTCTGTCCTGCCGCGAGCGTCGTGCAGAACAGGTGTCAACCGTGTTCCGAGAGAACGATCGTCCCATCTGATTCCACCATTCCCTCCGCAATCTCTTCCCATCCTTCCTCTTCCCTCAACGGATTCCAGATACGCTCTACCCAAAGGTACGATAGTTCCGGCACGATCTCATACCTCCGCCAATCAAATGTGGTCCCTTTCCATTCATTGCTCGGCGGTATTGACATTTCTACTCCCCTTTTGGTTCGTCTTGGTTCCCATGTGCAGTCCCATAATTCGAGTTCCCGGGCCATCGTTTCCTACCTGCACATAGCCGACAACCCGTTTTCCCCAGGTAAGCCCCCCCCTTCAGAAGTCCCAGTCCTCTATCTCGTCTCCGTCCTCCTCATCACTGAAATCCTCCTCCTCGTCTAGGAACATCTCTTTTACCCCTTCCAAGAAGGTTTCCCCCGCTGCTACGTTTCGGTAAACTATCTGTCAATGCACCGGGCTGGGAATAAAGGTTTCATCTGCGCTAAGGAGGTTTAACACCTCAGCTAATTCTTCCGCCCAGTTTCCTTCGAACGGCCCCGCCTCCACCGATAGTTTAAAGAAGTCTTGCCTAGAACCTTGGTACAACCTCAGGCGCGTCATCGACCGGCATATCCGCTCCAATCTACCCCTGGTTCCAAAGACTGCATCCACCAGGAATGGGGGTAGCATGCATCTCATTGTCCTAAGGGGGCGTCTCATATTTTTTCGGTCCCCGAGTTCCACTCGCACCTCCATCCTTTCCATCTCTATTTCTTTCCACTGACATGCTGCCCATACCACTTCCCGTTCCACTTGCCTAAACAATTGATCCGGTGCCGTGCCCAATACTAGTCCCACTACCATTGCGTTTTCCATTTCTTGTGATAGGTAGATCCATCCTTGAGCTTCCACTGTTCCCCGGAATTCTAGGTCCATCAGGCTAGGTGAGAGTCTTGTCAGGCTGACCTTAGTCCAGATTGTCTCTATCCAGAGGAACGCATCCTTCTTGTTCAGCATCACAGTTTCATAGGCTGGTTCTAGATCGGTCTATGTCCCTTCTTCCGGGAGAACAACAGATACCCCATCCCTTACTTCTATAGGCATTTTCGGACCACTAGAGTAGACAGGAGGTGACAACCATCGTGCCATCTTATTTCTCGACGCCCGTCCTGTTTTTCACATGAGAGCACCACACGGCCCTTCATGGTCAGGTGGTTTGCTTTTTCCTTTTCTTTTTTTCTTTCTAGATGAGGGTTGTTTTCAGACCCCTCATCCGGGTCTCCCTAACCTCCCTTATCCATTTCCCAGGTACTATTGCCCTACCATACCCCCAATCGATCACCCGTGACTCGCATTCCTTCTTTTCTTAGTTCCACTTTCTTCCGACTCCTGTCCAACCTCTTCCTCATGTTCTCTCACTCGTGCAGACTTAGGCAGGGGTCGAGAATAGACTAGAAGCTTAGTTCCCCTTCCAACATTCATCAGGCAACTTTACAGAGGGAGGCACAAAAAGCAAAACTCAGGCAAACGTCGCACACAGGTCGGTCATCTCCTCACCGACCTCTTCCCCGGAAATGGTCTCTCCACTGTTACTATCGACAGGGCGCTACCCCATACCTCAAGCACAGCTGAACCGTCACGAGCGCGGTACCCAGGTATCGGCAAGGCATTCGCCCTTTCCTCCTTACCCAGAATACCCCATCCCGACTTGCCGCTCGTGTACCCACTGTTAATCTCGGGAATCACCCCGCACATCTCGGTAAGGCCATTGGAGCCGGCCGTCCGGGCATTCACTTCCATCGGTCCGACAAGAATCAGCTTTTTCCAAGCCATGCTACGAGAAGCTTTTAATCGCCTCCGAGGTTCCTTCCTTGCTCCATATGCAGTGGTCCCCCTGCCGTCTGCCGACAAGCAGCCGCCCCGCCTGAAGACGTTTCACACCCTACCTGTGCAAGATCATTGAGCCATGCTCGGACCGCTCGGGTGAGAATGCTACTAATCAGCCGACGAGACCAACCCTTGCCTGACAGCCCGGTGGCCCAACCCCTACACACGGAGCCCAGTGAACTTCAAAGAGGACGACCATTCCGCATCCCGCACCGACCGGCGCAAACCAATCCTTTCCTTCCGAAAGGCAGGACGCTCGAATTCCCATCATGCAAATACAAGCCCCAGGGTGGGACACACATAACACAAGTGTCTTTCCCCAGGTGCACCCAGCGCTTCCTACCCATTGCTCACAGGTTTTCACTCAGGACAGTGCGTGTCACTCACCCCTAACTTCTATACATAGTGTCCGGTTCCTTTTCGTGAGCATCTTCAAAGGGGAGCTAGTTTTTCTTGGAGTCAAGCAACTCTCTCCATTCCTTTATCTTTGCTTGTGTGTCTGTTCATAGGGCAGGATTGTTCCTTCTCGATTACCGTTTATGTTCATATGAGGTTCCTTCAAGCATTTAAGTGCGGTGCACGGAGCCCGCTGGGCTTCGAACAGGAGAAGAGAAGCACCCAGGTCGGTCGGATCACTCCGCCGCAGGATTTTTATTGGAACCCGGACTGGCCCGGAATCCCAACCGCCTGCCAGGTAACCGGAGCCCTTCTTTCATACGAAGAGGAAGGGTCGACCTCCGGCTTGCCCAAAGCTTCCCCGGCCTGACGAACATCAGTCCAAGGGAAGGAGGACTAGAGTCATCTCCAAAGAAGATGGCTGATCAGAAAGTGCAATCATGCATGTTCTTCCTCCAGGCCTGGCCTTGCCATGCGCCCAGCCACCCTCAAATCTGATTCTCTCAAGAAATAGAGCATACACCGGTCCTCATTCCTTGTCTTTAGCTATGTACACGGTCATGCGTCGGGCGCCCCCCCTCGAGATCGCCAGGGTCAATTTAACCCACTACCCGGCACCTCCACCATTTTTGTAGGGGCCGTACCCTGAAGGACTTTCGAGCCTCGGTCGACCCCACTGCGGGTCCCATTTGGCTCGACCCGCCCACGCTCATGCTCAGGGCGCGGGTCGTTTGTCCCAGGGGCACCCCCACCTAGTGCTTTGAGATGGATGAGGATGGACCTTTTGCGAGAGGGCTTTACATTGGGGGATGTAGCTCCGCTCTCGCGTTAAGATGGTAGCTCTTTGGTCACTCGCGGCGTTTTCTTGATTTGATTTAGTCTGGCCGGGCAATCGCTCCTTCCAATACGCAAGCAGTCCAGGGGGTTTATTGAAGGTTTGTCTTCTTATCATGCGCAGGCCAAGAGTCATCCATTGGGCCACGCACCTTTTCACTAAGTCTAGTGGCTCAAGACAGCCCCTACGATATCCTTGGGGTAGGGTGGCATCGCCCGGATCCCTAGCCGCTATAATTGTTTTTGCTTGAGCCACCAACATTGCATTCACCTATCCAAGACTGCCCTTAGTCCTTCCGGGCTTGCATTGCATTCAAGAGAGCCATTGTATTCAATCATCACACAAGCCCCATCCCGGCGTCTACCACCCATTCAAGCATCCGACCATCCAACCCATCCTGCATTCATAGTTTAAGCGGGGTCTAAGTCCTTCCCTCGTCGCTTTCCTTATTCCCGCCCGCATCCGGCCGACGCAGTCCCGCTCAGACCACCCTAGGCTACTCACCTGCGCAAGACCACACAAAGCAAAAGCCAGGTACAATCCCCATTGGGGTCAACACATCGTCCCTCCAGCAAGCCTAAGTTCCTCTTGCCTTTGATGATCCTTTGGTTATTTTTCCCTTCACTCAAGCAAACCATGCCTTCACCTTAGTCATGCAGTCGGGGAAGATGGTTGAGTCAAACTGACCTCGTCCAAAATCAGCACTCCTTTCCGCTTTCGCAATTGCTCTCAATAGTTCTGTATCCTTCCCTTCTTGGTGGCACAAGGGACTGGCTGCCCTTCCCTTGCCCTCGCTTTCCACCAAGTGAGGACTAAGTTCCTTCTCGTTCGTTCCCTAGCAATGTAACAGGTGAGGGGGGGAGGTTAGTCACATGCCATGG